GCGCAGGAGGCAGGCAGAGGTGAGAAGACGCGGAGCACGTTCTCAAGCAAACTCCAGCTCAGTGACCCCTTAGGAAAATCAAACACCCCCAGCCTTATTTCTCTCCCTAGAGGTATTTTTCACGCTCAATTATTTCAAAACTCGTAGCAAAATTTTTCTACCTCTTTTTAGGGCTGGTATCTTTTCAATCACAGTTACTGACTCAAGCCGCCGCATCCGATTCTGGTACCCAGCTGGATTCCCCGTGTCTTGCACAATATTCGAGCAACTCAGCTGAGCACGACGCCCTCCCCAGCGCCGGACGCTCGCCGGCCAGCTCTTCGACCCCCACGATAACTTACCCAGAACCACGGTTATTCCTACAGAACGTAACGCCTCGAGAGCTGAAATCCATCTGCCAAGCGGCTGAGCATTTACCCGTCTTGTCTCACCCACAGGGGTTTTGGGGAGAATTGCGCTTTTCAGAGGCGCAACACCCCGATGACGCACTCCGAGCAGGACACAAGCAAACCCCGGGCACCCACAAAAGGTGTGGCTTGTACCCGAACGCTCCCACGAGCACAGATAAAACCCCGCGGCGCACGATAACAACATCTCTGCCTCACCGCACACGGTTCTTCAGATTTTACAGGGGGCTGAACCAGCGGCAGAGGTGATTTAAAGATTTAAGCCGCGCATATTGTCCTTAAAGAAGAATAATCCAGGTGGTTTTCTCCTTCCCACCTCCGGCACTCCAGGTCCGCTCACCACTTCTGATGCTCTGCAAGCCAGGGTGTGACAGATGAGAAAGTGCCTACGAAGGCATTAATCTTTGTAATATTTACTATACCGACAGCGCCCAGAAGGGGCTTGAAGCGTTGAGCCTTCAAATCCCCCGTCCGTCAACTGCTCACCAGCCCCCGTTGGGACAGGAGCCCCCCCAGAAGCGGAGGGACCACCCCCTCGTTATCCAAAAGTCACCACCAACACAAAAAGACCCCGATACGACGCATCAAAGAAGCCGAACAATCCCGGTTCTGCTGAATCACAATCCCGGTTCCTCGATGAATGGGGAGAGTGAGAACAGAGAAGGCCGGAGACACGCACCCCGACACGAAGACACTCACCCTGCCCTCGGACCCTCCCCGAAGCACCCAAACTTCCCGTACGTCCCCAGGCAAAGATGTACTCAACCAGTTGGGACACCGGCATCTACCTCCCGGCCCGTGAACGCAGCTCCTGCCGTCGCAGGCTGCAGGTCTGCACGGGAATTACCAGCGTCTCCTTCAAACAGGCTTCAGCTGCAAGTACCTGGTTCCTGAGCAGGGAGCAGTCGTTCCTCTGCAGCGCCAGGAAAACACAGACTCATCGCACGGTTTGGGTTGGAAGGGACACTCAAAGACCATCTAGTCCAACCCTCTGCCACGGGCAGGGATGTCTTCAACTAGACCAGGTTGCTCAGAGCCCCGTCCAACTTGACCTTGAAGGTTTCCAGGGTCGGGGCACCCACCACCTCTCTGGGCACCCTGTGCCAGAGCCTCGCCACCCTCGGCGTCAAAAATTTCTTCCTTCTATCTAACCTGAATCTCCCCTCTCTGAATTTAAAACCATTCCCCCTTGTCCTATCGCTACAGGCCCTGCTACAAAGTCTGTCCACATCTGTCTTACAAATATCGTAAAGGCCGGAGCCTTCTCTTCCCCCAACAAGCCCAACTCTCAGCCTGAGGTCTCCGTAGCAGAGGTGCTCCAGCCCCTGGATCATCTCCGTGGCCTCCTCTGGACTCGCTCCAACAGCTCCATGTCCTTCTTGTCCTGGGGACCCCAGAGCTGGACGCAGCACTGCAGGGGGGTCTCACCAGACTGAAGTAGAGGGGCAGAATCCCCTCCCTCGACCTGCTGGTCACGCTGCTGGACACGCAGCCCAGGAGACAGATGGCTTTGTGGGCTACCGGCACGCATTGCCGGCTCGTGTCCAAGCTTTTCATCCACCAAAACATCATGGGAAGGTCTCAACACTTTGCACTTACTTAAAACAGGACTCCCCCGTTCTGCTCCTCAGCCTGTTGGCCAAACCCGTGCTGGCTCGGTACCCAAATCAAGCCAAAAATCAAAATCATTGATATTTGCTTCCTTCTCTCTCCCAAGAAAGACCAGAGGCGGGATGCACCGGTGCTGCGCAGCACACGGGACAGGCTCTCACCGGCTGCAGGGGTCGGAAATCGAGTTGCCAGAGTTCACCAGATCTGGCGTTCAGATAAATAAAGGAGTTCTGCTGCCACTTTTGTAGGTGTTAATAAAAAATCCTGGCTGGGGGGGGAAGCCCCCCGCCTTTGCGTGCACCGGCAGGGTCTGCTCTGCCAGCCACCCGATGGTTGTAGCTTACGATACTGAACGTACGGATGGAGGAAACAAAAATCCATCTGGTTTTGAGGTGGGACAAGAAGGGCAGCAGAAGCAAACCCAACGGAAGAATAGTGCTGAATGGCTTCCAGAGAAACTCTACTGGAAGAGCAGGCTCCGCTCCTCGGTGTTCAGCCAAAGGGACCTCGCAGACACCGGGAGGACTCCCCCAGGCCCGCGAAACGTCGACTGAATTTCTGAGTTGGGTTCTCCCATCTGGCAGAGCCCAGGATGAACAACAGGCAAGCTACAGACTCTAGTCGTTTGGCACCTACCTTCTCCTCGCGCTCATATCCACCGGCTCATCGTTAATGTTTTCCTTCCCTGGCCTCCCTGCAGTCCTGCCATCCCCATGGGGCCTAAGGCTCCCATTCAGCTTTTCTTCGTAGACTTTCACACCATCCTGTTTCACCGGGAGCTCGTGGGGCACCTCAATGCCCGAGAGGTCTTTCCTCTTCAGCAGTGCCAGCATCTTCAGGCGCTCCATCGCCTCATGTCCTTCCATTTTCAATCTCTTTGCCAGGACATCGTCCCGATCATCTGCTTGGTCCAAGCTCCGTTTCAAGAGGTTCAGGCGCAGAGCATCTTCCGTCATTCTGTCCATCCTGCGGGACAGAGGTTGACATAAGAACACAATCAGTATCACAGTAAACAGAAAACGGCTGCGACAGACCCGGTTCAACACCAGTGGGGACCTCCGAGCCTGGCCTTCCCCCCCCCCTTGGGGAGCACCGACCTCCCACGCGCCTGCATGCGGTGACCTGCTTTTAATCCCCATCCTAAACCGGCCAGGCGGGGAGTTTCCCCAGCAGAAGGAACCGCACGCACCCGATGGGCGAGAGCACCCCGAAGCCCTTGAGAACGGGAGCACGATCCCTCGTTCGGCATTAAAACACCGCCGTCTGCGACTCGACGAGATTTACTAGAAAGAGAAGCCAGCAAACACCCGAGTCATCCAGGGACACGACGAGGGCATCTTGCACTAGCGTGTCCAGCCTTAGTTTTCGTACGGCTTCACTCGCAGGCTTTGTGCCGTGGACTTTTGTTTTTTCTGAGGGGACCCGAGGCATGGTTTGAGCCCCCTGCTATCGGTACGAACACCACGGCACGCCAAGTTTGGTCGCAAGCTTCCAAAAATACAGAAAATCCCCCACCACGTGGGGTTTTTTCCCTGCTCTTTCTAAGCTCTCGGGCGAAATTGCGCTGTTAGTCGGTGAGGAATGCGAGGCACCTTCTCAAAGGATGAAGGCACACACAGGACCATCCCCACCCACGCTCGCACTCCATCTTCTCCTGCCTCTCCTTCCAGGTGCAGAAATGCCCCGTGGCAAACAGATGCACTAAAAAGAGGAAGGAGCCGCAGAGCCCATCCCAACCCCATCTCTCTGCTCCCAGGCTGATAAGAAACTAGCTACAACACCACCACCAAATCAAGAAAAGCCAAGGAAGCTCCACCTGAAAACAAGGAAAGACCAGCTCGGTGAGGTCTTTACCTACCGACATGCAGACCGGGGTTGGGGACGATGACGAACAACCGGGGAATAAGTCAGAATTAAAACGCGGCCGTCTCAAGAACGCCGATTACTTTTTTGGCTCTGGATGCCAGCAGCTCGCAGGGGCTCGTTAGTAAGGTCTGCGTGCTCCGAGCTGGAAGACAAGGCCGAAGCGGCCGAATCTCGGGCACCTCTGCTCCTCCACGCTCGCTTCAGGTGGAACTTCCTAAACTTGGCTCTAAGTCACTCACGAGATAAAGCTTCGCCGAGCCAAACTTCTGCCAGGAAAACGTCGTTCTGGCTCAGTTATAAATCCCCTATAATTACACATCTTCCGAAGCACAGCTGTCACACAAGTTTGACTACAGCATCAATACGGTTTCAAGGGTATGAACCGTGCTAGAAAAACCTTATCCTTAAAAAAAGGGGGGGTGCAGTCGCGGCAGGCAGCAAGAAAACAAACGCAAACCTGCAACGCAACAGAAAAAAAGTCCGAGCAAGCTTCTGGCACAGTCCGATGTATCTCAGAGAGGCTGCCGTGTTCAGGGTGAGCACCTTAGACTTCTTTCTACTCGACAGTCTAGTCTTTCTGCAGGAAAACGCACGTCTACTGCAACCAAATATAGAAAGGCAAGCACGGGCAAGCCGAGGAAGACACATGAAATGCCGCTCTCCACCCCCATTCCTAAGAAGTGACCCCAGGTTAAATTGAAGCCGTGAGTGGCGGTGGGTTATTTAAGACACCACGGGATAGCGAGAAGCCTCACCGCACCCAGCGTTGCGGTCTGGATCCGGCTGCTGGGAAAGCGCCGAGTTCCAATTAACTCAGCCATGAAAGGGCCTCCACGGCTGCTTCCTCCGCTTCATACTCTGGGGAGATGAAAGAAAGCGAGGAGGAGGAGGCGGAGGAGGAGGAGGAAGGAGAAGTCCAGATACCTGGCAGACGAAGGCTGACGCGTGGGGAGGGAGCAGGGAGGGAGCACAGGCACTTTCCAACCAGCCGTCGCTTCGGTGTTTGCTGGAGGACACGTTAAAAAAGCATCCCTAGATAGTGGTACCCACCCTGCGGCGCGGTCAGGTCACCCCGCAGGTTCTTCCCTATGGGGAAACCGCTTTGTCCCTATGAAACGACCTCCGCGTTGAATATATCGCTTAAAAAATACCCCAGAATAACACACGCCGAGCATAGGAGAGCTGGTGCCACCCTGCGAGAGAAGAAGTTTCACTGAATTATGTCTCGGTACTCAAAAACCTTGCGTTGCTTCACGCACGTGGATAGCGCCGAGACAAACGCAGCTGTAATATTGCTGGCAAGCAGAAAAATAAAACACTACGAGAGCGCAACAAAGGAGGTTCAGGCTTCCTGAGCGCACAATGGCCGTCTTCTGGCCTTCAGAAGGGCAGGGAGACATACCTGCGTGAGGAAAACCATCAGAACACGCTAAAAATTTACCCGTTTTAAAAAATCTGAAAGCTGACATCTGCATCTCAAGGGTGTCACATCCAGCAAACCTGGCGCGGATGAAAAATAAAAGCAGCGTACCCAAAAGGAGAGTCGCTGGGCTCTGATGCGGTTTCAGATCGAGCCGTGCCCCTTCGCAGGTAGTTATTTAAGCAAGCTAAAGCGTCGCCACGAAACGCGAGCGGAGTTGTGTGTTTCCTTTAAAGACCCACGGCAGCCGCTGTCCCTTTGAACTGCTCCGCGGGAAAAGAGAAGAAATTACCCGCTAGCAACCGCTGGTTTGGAGCTGGGCTGTCTCTGCGCACCCGTGTGCAGAAGGAAGCTGTAAAACCCCGTCTGCAGGCACGCGGGCGATGAGGAGCGTTATCGCGTGAAACAAAGCCAGCGACGGAGGCACCGGCAGGATCCCTGCCAAGCGACGGAGTCGGCAGCAGCCAGGGTCCACCACCACCGAGACCACAAAGGAGACGCAGCGGTGGTACGGAAAGGAGAAGAAACCTTTTGCTCAGCCGATCTGCAAGACAGAAGGTGTCCTTCCACCTCCCCTTCCCCGCAGGAAGCCCAGAGACCTACCGGTCCCATCACCAAAGCGGGTTTTTGGGTGTCCCTCGCCTACGTGGACCCATCTTGCTCCATCGCCAGAGCGGTACCACATCCCCGAGCATCACAGCGTCGCTGTGATTTATTTCTCCAGCTTTGCCGTCAGCCGCCAGCACAGAGCTGGAGCACGAGCAGTTGGGAAACATCGTCTCGGGACCCAGAAGAGGAACGCACCGGGTAGGAAATCACGTTTTTTTACTGACAAACACGGAAGAAACAACACACCAGCCTCCAGGATTCGGCGGCAGCGCGATTTCGGCGGCAGAGCGATTTATTTCGGCGGCAGCGCGATTTCGGCGGCATCATTTAGCACGTGCTGTAGGCGGGAAGGACTGAGCAGAGCACGACCCAAAGCCCTGCTCGCAGAGACACGAGCAGACGGTGTCTGAAGGGTTTCAAAATGCCCTCCCCTTTAACGGTAAGTGGCTTCGTTACTAGAAACAAATCAAAAGCAAGTGTTATCAGAAACAGGTACCACAACTATTTAATCCTTTCAAGAGGAGGCTTTCCAGGCTCGGTAAAGAGCACGCGCTTTCAGCCAGATTCAATAAAAATTAAATTAGGCTTCAGGTTCTTTATTGAATGGGGCCCTTCAGCGTTAACTCTCGGCTGCGAGGAGGGAGGCGGGGAGGGGAGAAACTGCAGCTTTACTGGGAGCCCTGGGAATTTCCAGAGCACCTCGACTGCCAGGGGAGAGCACTCAACTTCCTCCAAAATCAGCAGAAAAGAGCAGGAATTCTTTCAGCGAGTCTGAAGGGCAGACAGTCAGGAACTTCAGTACCGGCCCTGCTCCGCGTCACAGTAACCCAAACGAAGAGCAGCGATTAAACCTCTCGTTTGACTCGTGAACGAGGACTGGCCGTGAAGCATCTCCTCTTTATCAGCAATCTGGGATTATAAATGAAACGAGAGCAGATTTTTTTCCTCCCCCTCCTCTGAACGTTAGCCATTTCTTGGAAGAAACTAGCCTCGTTACTCAGGCGGTAATAGGACCACATTAAATGGATGCCGTTACCGGACGATACGGGTGTGCTGGAGTCACACCTGAAGGACGGGAGTTCAACGGGCACGCCAGCACATCTTCACCAAGACGGCATGGCAAACCAGATCAGCCTGACGTGCCTCCCCTCCGGCAAAGCGTTCCCGGAGATCTGGCACATCCCAGGAAGTAGGCTCTCCCTCTCACTTCCCTAAGGAACTTTATTTAAAAAAAAAAAAAAAATTAAAAAAAAAATTGAAATAAAATTCTCAAACGGTGGCAAAATCCCTCGGGGAAAACAAGAGAGCTATAAAACATGTTTTGTTTCTCACTTGATACAAACTGTAATTATCTCCAGTCGCAGCTCTGTAGGTGAGCAAGCTTTCCTGACTACCTAAAAAAAGAAAAAAAGCTGGCGTCAGTTTAGAGCCAGGATTTAAGCGGCTCCCAGGCGGCCAGAAGAGGAGAGGGGACACCCTGCTCAGCCGCAGGGACGCGGGGC